CACTAACGAGCGTAACAGTAATAACTGTACTAGACTGGAACTGTTGGTAATGTGACATTTCCATGCAACCATGGAGACTAATACACCATCGTTGGTTTACACACCGTTCTATTTCTGAGCTTCAGGTGTGCAATTAATTACATCTCCCAATTTTTTTTTCAAAATGTATTAGGTCTCCCAAACAACCCCATTTCTTATGGAGCATAGATCCTCTCATTATTTTTAGGACACTATTTTGCACGATCGGGCACTGCACCTGTGATCTATGGATCGTAAAAACTGCCTTTGCAGTCTTCCGTTCAAAAATGTTCTCTTATCAAGGTGGAGAATCAAGAAATTAATGAAGTCAGGACAATCAATAAAAATCCACCAGTTGTTGCAAGTGCTTGGGCATAAAGGGGCATTCCTGTTGTTAAACGTAGAATGCTTTCTGCAGCTGATGTTTTTATTCAGTAGAAATGGTCATGACATGTCACGTTAGATTGTTTTGTCTGGAAAGAAGGGCTCTTCATTTGATTACATCTTGGATGTGTTCGGTATAAGCCAAGTTTGGCAATATCCGCAAAACGCAGCCATCTGCTAAGTTTTATAAAAACATTAACATGATGCCGGCATCGCTATTGGCAACCGACAGAACACGAGCTTTGGCATAAAGCAGGGGAATCCAGCTTTTCTGCTCTGCCAGATTTTCTACAATGCTAGGAGCCACAGGCAAAATAATGGTCAACTAACAACCTATGAAATGTATATGCCATTGCCTTTGTTAAGAAAAGGCGTAGCACTAGAACATTTCACAACCATGCATGGCACACCTGCTAATGTAAAGCAAGGACCAAGAGATGTGAAATGAGAGAAGATGACAGGTGACAGAGGTGTAGTGAGGCGAGAAAGAAAAGAGGATGGAGATGTGTCGTGAGTTGTGAAAAAAAAACCCTGAAGCAGATAAAGTTGTATTAAGACGAGAGAAGACCTGTCGATAAGAGATCCAGATGTAGTGAAACATTGAAGTGATTGAATAGAGTTATCGTGAAGTGAGATAAGAGAAGGGCATTTAAGGCGGCGTTATTGACGAATGTGAGTGGTTATTTATCATTTTGCACCACTGACAACACAGTATCCATGTCACCAATTAGTTTGTTTAATTTTACAGAGATGCATATGAGGGAGATGTAAGATGAGAATTTTGGAAGAAATAGACAAATAGAGTACAGTGCAGTGAGGTGAACACTTCATAGATTTATTCTGGCAAGACAGAAATCATATTTGGTTTTGCAGGCAGTAGTTTGGTCAGCTGTGGCATAGAGTGTGGTCTGAAAATAAAGGTTCATGCCAGTTTCATAATTATACCATTGCCTCATGGCAGAAAAAAATCTATGGTAAGTCTTTCCATTACGTTGCCTGCCTGGAGTCCCCACACTCTCGCCTTAGGCAAAAAAATTTTGCCAGGACTTTAGCAAGGCTCGCTGAAATAAAATGCAGTTGATTGCCATTCTAAAAGACATTTAGTTTTGTTTTCTACATTCTTATTTAGGTGGTGACATGGCCTACACCATTTAGTTTAAAATTGTCATCGTATTTACTATCATGCATTAAAACTTCAACCATTGGCTTTTCTATTTACATTAATCTTATTTAAGTGGAAATGTTAAATCATATAGTGTCTGAATCTTAAGAATAATACTACTGTACTTGACTCATTTTCAGGATAACGTTAAACAACCAGGGTATTGGGTCGTAATTATCAGATCTACATCCTTTTTTTACCAGATGGGAGCCTATTCCGTTTCATTACTAATTTTGTATGGGAGTCCCAAATACCCTTTGCATATGGATAATATTTTCCAAAAAAAATAACAAAACTCCACCGAGCGCTTATCAAATGATCGAAACGTGATGCTGGGCGTATAATTTTTACACAGAACCATATCGTTCCGATGGAACTATGCCAACTGTACGTCATATTTAAACTGGAAAGCCCAGAAATTATCTCTGCCCTCCAAGAAAATCTCGAGTTACAAGTTGCCATGTTACACAACCATCATTAATTGAACCGACATGCTTTGTAAACTGATCTTCTTAATGTAACATATAATTTGATCTTCATTATTATGTCGTGCATATGTGTTCTTGCATGATTATGTGCAGTATGTTTTAAATATCACAGTGAACCTCAATGAGGTTTGTCAGATCGTGTGAAAGAAACGGCGCTAGGTTTCAATGGAACATAGACAAAAAAAATCAAGTCTTCCTGAAAGTGGAAAAACATAACAACTGTGCCATTGTTGATAATTGGTTCTTTACCCTTCCATCTGGCAACAAAACTGACACCTTTTTGCAAGGAGTCATGTTTGCATAGACCGCAATACCTGCAGTCATAATACAAATAAAAGAACATTACTCTGATAATGTGCACTGTCCTTGAAGTTGATTGGTCCACACCCGAGACAGCTTTCCTTCGAGCCTAGTCTCATATGGGTTGGACCAGATGACGCCAAAAGGCGCACAACTCAAGGACAATGCACCATCAGAGTATGAGAGCTCGGGGCAAGCATCTACACTATGGGGACCTCATTTGCCAGTAAAAATATGATAATTGGTTCTTTACCCTTCCATCTGGCAACAAAACTGACACCTTTTTGCAAGGAGTCATGTTTGCATAGACCGCAATACCTGCAGTCATAATACAAACAAAAGAACATAACTCTGATAATGTGCACTGTCCTTGAAGTTGATTGGTCCACACCCGAGACAGCTTTCCTTCGAGCCTAGTCTCATATGGGTTGGACCAGATGACGCCAAAAGGCGCACAACTCAAGGACAATGCACCATCAGAGTATGAGAGCTCGGGGCAAGCATCTACACTATGGGGACCTCATTTGCCAGTAAAAATATGATAATTGGTTCTTTACCCTTCCATCTGGCAACAAAACTGACACCTTTTTGCAAGGAGTCATGTTTGCATAGACCGCAATACCTGCAGTCATAATACAAACAAAAGAACATAACTCTGATAATGTGCACTGTCCTTGAAGTTGATTGGACCAGATGACGCCTTTTGTAAGACTAGGCTCTAATGAAAGTTGTCTCGGGTGTGGACCAATCAACTTCAAGGACAGTGCACATTATCAGAGTTATGTTCTTTTGTTTGTATTATGACTGCAGGTATTGCGGTCTATGCAAACATGACTCCTTGCAAAAAGGATTCAGTTTTGTTGCCAGATGGAAGGGTAAAGAACCAATTATCATATTTTTACTGGCAAATGAGGTCCCCATAGTGTAGATGCTTGCCCCGAGCTCTCATACTCTGATGGTGCATTGTCCTTGAGTTGTGCGCCTTTTGGCGTCATCTGGTCTAACCCATATGAGACTAGGCTCGAAGGAAAGCTGTCTCGGGTGTGGACCAATCAACTTCAAGGACAGTGCACATTATCAGAGTTATGTTCTTTTGTTTGTATTATGACTGCAGGTATTGCGGTCTATGCAAACATGACTCCTTGCAAAAAGGTGTCAGTTTTGTTGCCAGATGGAAGGGTAAAGAACCAATTATCATATTTTTACTGGCAAATGAGGTCCCCATAGTGTAGATGCTTGCCCCGAGCTCTCATACTCTGATGGTGCATTGTCCTTGAGTTGTGCGCCTTTTGGCGTCATCTGGTCCAACCCATATGAGACTAGGCTCGAAGGAAAGCTGTCTCGGGTGTGGACCAATCAACTTCAAGGACAGTGCACATTATCAGAGTTATGTTCTTTTGTTTGTATTATGACTGCAGGTATTGCGGTCTATGCAAACATGACTCCTTGCAAAAAGGTGTCAGTTTTGTTGCCAGATGGAAGGGTAAAGAACCAATTATCATATTTTTACTGGCAAATGAGGTCCCCATAGTGTGCCATTGTTATTTGGCTCATTGCCCTGAAAATGCACTACCTTACACCTGCATGCACTTTGGAGTATATTAAATATGCCATGTAGGCACACTACCATAAATTTCGTAACATGGGCTAAGTTTTGTGGGCAGGAAGGGAGAGTGCAGAAAAATCGATTGTACTGTAATATGCTACCAACCACTGGTCCCTGCCTTCTCCAACCTACACTCACAAGCATGGTCAAGTATGGTCAAACAACTCCCATGACTGGAATGATGTGGACAGGCCCTCCTCAACTAGCTGTACAAGAGCTGTACATGTACATTAATGATATTGTATTATCATTTAGCAAATATATCTTTGGAAAATGTCCAGTAACTTTATTTGCTTGATTAACATGCACCTCCCTCACTGTGTTGAAGGAGAGCCAAACTTAACCTTTCCTTTAGTATCATTAAAAAAATGAGTGCACGTAGAATACAGATAAAGTACAAGTACCCAATACTACGTTTAGTTATTGAGAAACTTTTCCTCATTGTTAAATATCTCCAGGACAACTTTGGTTGCCACCTGTCTAAATTTGAGTTAGCTATTTCTAGAAATTAATCTATAACTCTCCAGATGTCCTGTTTTTTTGTCTTTTGCATAATAATACACCAATGTAGTTTCCCCCTCTTCTAGTCATGTGAAATTATTTTTGTTACGTGATACTTTTTTTTTAATACTTCAGAAGTTTTATTCTTTTATATGGCTGCTGTAGATGTAGAGCAACAACGGCACTTTAACATTCAGGTGTTCAAGCCAGCTAACAGCATCAGGAGTACCGGGATTGTATCGCTGTAATCTTTCATTCGTATTTGTGGATGGGGTGTTGCATCGTTATATGTTATTTGGCCTGTTCTGGATGACTACAGTCGCGCACTGGAGAGTTTTAAATTTTAAATGTGTGAGTCAGGTATCCACATCTGCCAAGGTTTGTGTGGATGCGGTTTAGGGTGGACCATGAGCTTCGTGGAAGATCAAACCCAGGGATCTCTTGCGTTGGGTCTTTCACATCAGAGATGGCAACCCTATATTTGAATTGGAATTTGAAAGTCACACATACTTTGGCTTGTGTGTGTGTGTGGTGGCTGCAGTTTGGAGAGGGCGTGTTCAACCGAGCCAAGCTCATGAACATCGGCTACGTGGAGGCCCTCAAGGATGCCCCCTATGACTGTTTCATCTTCAGCGACGTCGACCTGGTGCCCATGGACGACCGCAACCTCTACCGCTGCTACGACAACCCTCGGCACTTCTCCGTCGCCATGGACAAGTTCAGCTTCCGGTACGGGGTTGTTCGTGCCAGTGTCGAACCAATTTCGAGCCCCTGTGAGGAACGTCTTCTAAGTTTGTCATTATTTTTCTATCTACGTGACTTTACTGAAAGACCCAAAGAGTATGAATTCCTACAGTCACGAAAGCTTTAAGTCAAGATTTAAGTTTGTCATTTAGCTGCATTTATACAAGCATTTATGTACATGCACAGCCCTTTTGTGTGTGTCACGGAGGCCATTGACCATACCAGCACCTTTAATTAGCACGGTTGGCTACGTACCGTGCAAAATAAGTTCAATATGCATAAATACTGCACTCTGTTAGTCAGGTTTTGGAAGGCAGAGAGTTGGTTTTAAGTCGCATTCCTTCAGGTATACAGGCCCCATTGCAGCACGTGACAGATTGTATATGGTTTCCAGCGAAGAGGGTAAAACAAGCCATGATGTGAAACTATTCTGACTTAAAACTTTCGTGACTGCAGGAATTCATATTCTTGGTTCTTTCAGTAAAGTCACGTAGATGGAAATAAAAATAATAAAAGTAAGCCGACTGGCTATCAACAACGATTCGTTCACGAAGCCATCCATATATACAGACACAGACACAATTTCAACCGAGACGTCGGTTATAAACAGCAATCATTGGAAAGATGTCATCAATCACTTAGGGTCATGACTTGATTTATGTTTTCTTGTCGACCTCTGCCGTCAGCAGTGGATGTGTGTAGTGAGGTGCAATGCCCCCCCCCTCTACCCCCCCCCCTCTCTCTCCCCCTATCTCTACCTCTTTCCTCCCCCCATTGTCTACTCCTATATTAGCACTGACTAACTAACTGCCCCGCCTGCCCATGCTATTTACGTCGCACAGCTCTTCTCACAACTCTCGTCCCCCGCCCACTCACTTTGGAAACCCTTATAAGCAGTTGCATTTGGAGGCTTGCCCCCTCTTTTCCCTCCGCCTGATGAAGACCTTTTGTGTTGCGATCGAAACGTCGTGGGTTTTTTGCTTTTATTATTTTTATTTAATTTTATTTTTATTTCTATTTACGTGACTTTACCGAAAGAACCAAGAATATGAATGTGAAACTATTCAACAATAATGGCTGTGACACAAAGAAGCTCGTATTGTTACTCCAGTGTGGCGCTTCATCAATGGGAGTGCGTGTGACTAACCATGTGAACAGCATTTTGTTTGTTCAGCAGTATGTTCAGACACGCTTGTGGTTCCTTTTACCTGAGATTATTTTTTATAATGGTGGTTCTCAAACTTTTCTGGTACCGTCTTGCTGGACCCAATATGTTCCTGAAAAATGAACATCAATATTTTAACAAATTGTCCATTTTGTGAGGTATCCTATTAATTATCCTATTATGAAACTAGTAACTGCAAGCGAAATAAAAAAATCAACGGACACTCTGCACGCGTGACGCAATTTGTTCGCGCTCACTGGTTACTCATGGAAACCATATTGTTTACCATCAATGAGTTTAGAAAGGTCTTTTATATCATTCTAGGTTACTGTATGGATTTAAACATTTTCATAGTTACAGACAATTCTCGGTTTACGCGCATTTGTTGTACGCCATTTTGGAATAACGCGCACTTTGTATTTAGACCTTTCATTGACATACGCGAGGCAATTTTTGGAATAACGTCGTACGCCACCCCTAGCCTGGCACCGTGACCCAATGGCGTTGCCAGCAGCCAGTGACATTGTAATATCGAAATATCGTAAGTCGGACCATCGTAACTCGGGGACTATCTGTATATAGGTGTCTGGTTTACAAGTTCAAAATAGGTATTTGAGGCGTATTTTTATTGACACCCTCATTGCCCTGCAATTAGATAAACTATCGTGATTTTTTGATGTCGCTATGTAAGTCAAGATTCTTTTGTTTTTGGTCTCATTTGTACTCGCCTGTTTGCATTTTGCTGCGTCTGCTTGTATGCTGTGTCACATCCTTTTTGCTTCTGTCAGACTGAAGATGGTATTTGCAGATCAGACTTATATCACACCTTTGTCAGGGATTACAGAGCGCTGTACACAATGATTATAAAATAACACAATGGGCATAAAAACCCTTGGTTATAAAAATATATATATAATAAAAGAAAGCTGAATGATAAAATCAGGTATAGAACAGGAAAGTTTTAAGTCGAGCCTTGATAATCCCAATTGAAGCAGAATCCCTGACGTAAATATAATCTGCATGTATCATGAGTAATCGATTCTCAAATAAGAATTCGATGTGTGTACCACAGTGTAACAATCAACTCTGATCAGGCTTTTATTTGTACGTGTTTGGGTGATTTGTTTCCCTTGTACTTTGCACTACTCTTTGTTGTTTTAACGTTATTACCTGCCCCTACTGGATATCTGTGAAAAAGAGCTTTATAGCTCATCGGATTCCTCCAGTATAAATAAATATTACGATTCTGATTTTCGTAGATAGTTACATGCTTCGTATTTACAATGAATCCAAGAATACTGTTTGGTTTACCACCTGCATCAAGATGATCAAGCGCTTCTGACAATCATTGCCTGTGTTGTTCCATCTCGTTCCACAAGGCTGCCATACAACTCGTACTTTGGTGGAGTGTCAGGCCTCTCCAAGGCACAGTACCTGAAGATAAATGGATTTCCCAATGAATACTGGGGCTGGGGTGGTGAGGACGATGACATTTACAACAGGTACGGCACAGTGATTGCTCATACATATGCATTACTGTTCTTTTCATTGTATTTTGTTTGTTATGTATCTTAAACCACATTTTTTTTAGAATTAGTTATCGTTAGAGGAAATTATGTTTTAAATTAAATGACAGACAACTTTGAGACAATTGTCTAAGTATAATGATATACTAAATACGTTGCGTGCCATATGAATGATTACCTGTAAACAAAAAATTGCAGCTGATTTACACCTATAAAATGTTTAAATCTAAACAAAAGGTTGCAGCAGGGATTATATTGCCTCTTGCTTCATCTATAAAACCAACATGTCAAAGTACCAACATTTATCACAAAAACGTTAAAGGAATTGCTTTTCACCTTTACTGTACACTATTGATTTTGAAGTTCACTGATGCTGAAACAGTTACTCGTGTCATGATATTAAGCGGTGTGCTATTTAAATTCCTTTTACACTGTTAAGTATGACTAGCAGGTCATGCGCAAGTTTACTATTTTCCCTTGGTATGTTGTGACAATTATCACAACCGTTCCAACAGGTCTCCATAAAATGGCGTACGTACATTTAATTTCAGTTTTTGAATAAAACATTTGTAAACGTATTTGAAGACCTATGTAGTTTTTTGTAACCAGTGAAATGCCTCGCAAGCATTAAGGATTTAAAGTTGCAGAAATCTAGTGATGGTAGGTCGCAGTGCCCTTTTAATCTGACTCGGGGACATTTGGTAATCCCTCCTGGTCAACTCGTCCATATGGCGTCACATCTGATATTCAATTTACTGAAATGCAGAACATAATACATTCAAGTAAAATAACTTCGAAACAATCTTTAAAAATAGTAGTATTCATGCGCAGCCCTTTGTAAATCCTCTACTGAATGAGAGCCTCTCAACACTCAGTCATGGGGGTTGTTTGGTCATGCCTCAACGGCACTCAATGAAGAGTGGCCCTGGATCAGTTCATACATCACTAGCCACGTGTTAGCCAAGGCCAAGAATAGAACTCAGGTTGCCGAGTCCAAAGTGCAGTGTGCCCACTGTGCTATCTTCCCAACCATTTATTTGGAAACTGAGTGAACACTCATGAGCCTAAATTGTTGTACAAGAGTCCTGGGGGGAGTAAAAAAAACTGCGATGGCAGAGAACAATTGCCAGACATTCTGATAGGTTTTTTTTTTTTAATCTACATTTGTTCTAATCAAAGATTATTAAAAGAAAAAAATATGATTGAAATGGGGCTATTTTAACTGACACATTTTTTTAACTGTTACATGCAGACACTTTTTTGCTGTATTCTGCAGAGGTGTAGTTCTTAAGCTTGCATTAGCTTTGGCTAATGGATAGATTTATTTGCAGGGTTGTTGTTCAGGGAATGAGGCTGTCTCGACCCGACGGAAGTCTGGGACGCTACAGAATGGTAAAGCATGCAAGAGATGCCAAAAATGAACCCAATCCCAAGCGGTAAGTCACTAGGTTGGGCACCCATATTTTAACAAATTTTGTTTATGTAAATCTTTTTCCTTTTCCAGCTGGATTCATAACCCACACAGCATAAGCATTATTTTCCTATACCTGCGCACACACCATGTGATGGCATCTAAGATCTAAGAGGGTGTAGGGCTCATCACACCCCTCTTAGATCTTAGTGTTCACAACATTCAAGTATTTACACACTGTATTACTTATGAGTATATCACCTACGCAAAGCCTAGCATGCGTGAAGCCTGACTGGCACGCAGGCATGACAAGAAACGAGATGTTAAAATAGCCGATTAAACCTTAAATCCTTTATTATATACACTCTTGTTCGTGTTTTAATTCAACACTGGGCATGCGTGGCCCACATTATGTTGCGACCAACCGCGTCATCGCGCGTGTGGTCGGTATTTTTCCATAAATTGGCATGACAAGATGTTCCTGTAGGTCTACAGCAAGCGATTGACAGGATCAGAGTAAGGGAGGAGTGGAAGAAGTTTATCTAGCCTCGTCCTCGGCTGCCATGTGACGGCTGACGGAAAATTAGCAAAGAAGTTTTTCTTGCATAATCTGGTCTGCGGACCGGAGAGCTAGTGGCAGCCGCTGGATTCGAACCATGAACCTCGGCAACAAGTAGCGAATACACTACCGCTAGGCCACGTCACCACCCTCTCGTCAGATCTCACCTGGTAAACAAATGTAACGCTACGTATTTTCCTCATACGTAACTTTACGTATATACCTCATACCCTTAGCCTTGATGACAAAATAACTGGGGTGGGAGGGGGGTACTTGGAATGCCAGGACTTTTACTGCAAAACCTTTTGGACACAGACAATGCAGTCGCTTCACCAACAAGTGACTCCTGGCCCCACCAGGACTCACCAGGGCAAGGTGTTCGTCACTGGAAAATGGTCATGCCACTCTCCTCATTGGCCTTAAAGATACTTCATCTGCTAGGCACAGTGGAGGCATTCCCTTGGGCGAGAGACCACATTTCTTCCCCTCCATTCGAACCTCACCTCGCATTGGTTTATGTCCTCCCAAGATGACAACGCCCTATTTCGTTTGCGGACCACAGCCTGCCACCTGTCATGGTGGCTGCTGGGACAACCTTCTCTAGGGCTCTCTCTTTGGGTTTGTTGATCCACAATTTTCGTTTACTGCCATTTCATCATTGAAACGATGGGGCAGAGAGTGCAGAGTGGCAGTGCAGGGCCTCCGAACCAAAGAGGAGAGACTAAATTTGATCAGTTAGCTCGAGCTGAGGAAGGTCCATCTTGTCCTCCAGGCTCTACCAATCAGTCGTGTGCAGTCTTGGTTAAATAAAACTGATCGGATAAATTCCAATGGGTAAATAAAATCTAGTTTTGTAAAAATAAATATTTTACATTCAAGAAATATAATTCTTTTTTCAATAATGATATATATATACAAACTAACGAGCTATTTTAACATCTCCTCTGTAATGTACACTTGCCAGTGAAAAAACCTGTATTGTGGAGCCTTCCTATATGTTGACGTCTGTCGATAAAATTACGTTCAGGGGTTGTGTAGCGCCCTCGACAAATGTTGACACAGATGTTTTCCATAATGAAGGAAGAGATAATTAAAACAAAACATCTTGCAAGGAAAATCATTGTAAAAAAGATATGTATTCAAAACAGTAAAGTTACAATGTGACAACATAAAAAATTTCAGTTTCATTAATTCATTCTATTTATTTTTTGAGTAAAAACTCGCCCCCACTAAAGAGGACATCGCAATACTTTACCATATAAAATGTTGTAGAGCTTAATTTTAAAATCCGAATTAGATTTGGTTAGCAAAGTACAAAAAAAGAGTTTTGAACTCTTGAAGGAAATTTGCGATGAACAGCATGCACATGCTTTCAAATGAATGCACTTGTTAGGTAAACATGCCGTGCCCTGCCCGTGGGCACATAATTGCAATCGGACACACATCCTATTGGTTTACAGCTTAATGTAATTCACTTGTGATCAAGTCCAAAATCATTTGTGCCATGTTTTCCTGTAAAACTTGAGTTCTGGGCACTAACGTTGGTGAGCTCCGGCATCATGTTCGTTGTGCGTTTGCATACAGGTTCACGCAGATCAAGAACACCAGACATAACATGGGAAGGGATGGCATCAACACCCTCAAGTACAGACACGTGGAGACAGTGAGGCAACCTCTCTACACCAATGTCACCGTGGACGTTGGCAAAATGCCTGCACGACATGTGTAGCTTAAAGTGGCTATAGCTGTGGAAGTATGAATTTGAAGAACGAATCGCATTGCCTGCTGTTCGTCGCGGTTCAGTCATTACTTTGAATGACTGGCTTGTGCTGGTGTCGCAAACGGGAGTTACACAAAGTGTGGCATCGCCGAAAGAAGAAAAGAACATTGGTGGAAAGAACGTTGACTATTTTGGAAGTAAACACCTATTAAAGTAAATAGCGTGTTAGGGCTGGCTTCCCAAAGTGTGAAAGGGTGAGGGGAGAGTAATGTCCCGTGGACAGTTATGACTGAGAATGGTGTGCGTTGCATTGTTGCAAGCCATGCACGTTGTTTTGGCAAACAGGCAAAATATCTGGCTGATGTTTGTTTTTTCACTCGGACGCTTGTTGTTTTGTTATGTTATGTATTGATGTTGACGTGCTTTATTTCGATATTTTAATTTTTGATTTGATAATATGTATGTGAAGATCAGTTATTTTGGGCATATTTTTTTATATTGTGCATGTACATTGGCTCCATTTTGCATACTGTTATCATTCATGCTTTCATTCAAAATAGTATTTGCAGTTTGTAGACTATTTTACAGTTTTAATGTTTTAATTTGTACTTAATGACACTTTAAACATGTTCTTTAGGTTGCTTATTTTCAGCAACCAGGCAATAATTGTAAAGCTAATAATGTGGGTGACATAGCCCTACATTACGTCAGGTTTGTTTTTGCACAGTGAATCTATAATACAAGCGTAGATGTCGAATCTTTGCTCTCGGAGTAAAGCATATACTATACCGTCTATCAATTATAGCTAGCTCACACTTAATGGGCCAGTGCTTGCATTAGTACTGTTTAAAGTTTTATTGACACAAATTATAAACACCTGCCTTGTGGCTGAAACATGACTGCGATGTGTCGTGTCAATATATTACACCATTACGATTGGCTTTTTCATACACGTGTAACAATCGACTATTTATTAACCTTAGCGCTTTGAACAAAGTACAATGCTGTGTTATCATTAAACCAGATAAAGTACCGCTTTTCATTAAACGATGTTCAGAAATACTGTACAAATGTCACATTTGCATGTATGTAAAAAACACAATCGGGATAAATAATTATCAGAGATTACACTCGTAAGCCTAAGAGTATTATATTTTGAGGATAATTCAGAAAGTAGCGTGTGACGGATTGCCTTTTTAGTGTGCACTGGTCATGTCCAAGCGCGGTAGGCCAATGCTGCATTTCACACTGTGTACTCTTGATTTCACTTCTTGGTTTTAACTAATTAAACAACATTAACATTTCATGCTTGGGTTTCCGTGTGTCATTTTGTTTTCACCAAGGCACAACTGATCTTCCCCGTGTATGTTCTTATCACGGGTTACATATATATTTCCCCCAAACACATTTCACTCCCAGTATTTCACTTGAAACTTTGCAAGTGCTGCCTGATCTGTTATACGATTGCTATTGCAGCTTTTTCAGCCTCTGATATTTGTAGTCTGTGCCTACGCATAACCTCTATAACATGGAACAATTCAGGAACTAAGTGCTTTCACCTGTGAAGCCACAGTCTTTTGACATGACAGGAATGTTTTTTTGTACGGAGGCTACCAGTCTCCTTAAGAGGGGAGGTGTGAAGTGTGTCTGTAAGAGTAACAATAATGGCACAACATGCTGAGTGAAGGTTAAGATGAAGTTGGCAAAACACCACTGAGGTATTGTATTATGTATGATTGTGGGGAGTAGCGGTTGGCAAATTGTGATTTTTTTTTTTATCCATAAACCTGAATTCAACTCCTGGTCATGACTGATATCTGAGTGAGTGATACCCGATTCGGTCCTGTATACCCCCTTCAACCCACACTGGGCAGCATGGTGAAGTATGGTCAAACAGCCTTCATGATTGGAAAGGTGTGGGAGAGGCCTTCATCCAGCAGTGGATTTACAAAGGGCTGTACATTTATTATCGTTTGAATATAATCCCCCACACAACTGTACGCACCTAAGAAAATAGGACTCCACCAATGTATACAATAACTGTAAAATAGAAACGTGAATGCAACCGCATGCAAAGTCCCCACAGCAACTCTGGTAAGCTGTGACTTGAATGGGAAAAAAGGCTGACTTACAGAATGAAATGGTGTGTTTGGACAGGCAGTTCAACGAATTTCGGCTTACGTTTCAGACGCTTCAAAGATGTTTAATTTTCACTGAAAGCATTACGCGGGCTTAGTATGTCAACCAAATGTCATGGAATTCAACAATGTAGAAATAATGTGTTCACCTTGATGAGGGAACATGTCAATGCCATGGTGCCGGACGTATTCGGACAAAATTTATTTCATCCATGCTGAATTGCATTCATTTTTACATCAAACTATTGACTTATTCCATAAATACGCTGATGGTGATTACTTTCAAAATGATACCTCCATATAATATTAGTATACATTTTGACTGAAGTTGCCTCATTTGTAGAACTGCCTGATGACAATGTTCGATTTATATTAATTAGCCAAGTACTAAGTATATAAAGTTAATTAACCACCACACATTTTAAAGCGGGTTGCAAGCATAAGGCAATTTTAATAAATGATTACAAAAAATGGCATGGTTTGATGTCTCCTTTTAGTTTAAACCCACTGAGATTCACTCAACTCAAAGCTAAACTTGAATAATAATTTGCAATGGCACACTTATTTCATAATGATACTTCATTTTTATCAGATTATTTCTCATCAATGTTG